TAAAACACTTGTACTTTTTTTCTAAATTCTGTGCAGTAATTTGAGTTACCCAATTTTTTATCCATATATTTTAAGAATATTTTACAATCCAAGTTTTAAGTATAATCATGCATAATTTATCTAAAAAATATTCAGTTTAGATAGAGAAAGTAGTTCTAGGTCAGCGTATATAAAAAGATTTAAACTGGAGCAGTGCTGTATAAAAATAAAACTAGAATGTGAGAGTAAAAAAATTTTCATAGTACTATTGCTAGAAGTAGAAGAAAAGTGGCTAAAGTATGAAAAGGAAGAAGAAAAGTATTATGAAATCTTTCTCTGCTCAACCAGCAGATGTCTCATTTGGTTGTTAGAACCTAACATTATTTTAAGATACTGCCTTGGTATTACTATGCTTCTTACAAGTGTACGTATGAAAACATTAAACATGATTGACTCTAAAATCAGAGTACAAAATTACATTTGTGCTTTGGAAGATTATAAGACATATTATACATAATACACAAATGAAATCAAAGTATTTTTCTAAGATTTTTCCAAAAGAAAATTCAGTAAAGTATCCTTTGAAATATAAACAAGCAAATCTATAATCATAATTGCTTAAGATTATTGCTGATCTAGTATTTATTAATAATCAAATGTATTTATGCATCATATGAATCTTTTTACTCCTTCTAAAGTGTGTGATTATATTCAACTAAAAATAGCCTTATTTTTAATTTTATGAATCAGGAGCAAAATTTATAATAAAACTTATTGTATTTGATTATTCATTTATAATATCTTTCATATATCATCACCATCACCACTCTGTCCCTAAATTTCTTTATCTATAATTTGAAACTTTCAATCAATCTCTAACATATTTTTAATGTTCCATAAAAATTATCACATAGGATACACGACAAGAGATAGCAAATTAATTTTTTAAAATATATTGGAAAAGATTTTTCAATGGTCTGCAATTAACTATAAAATGATTATAGAATTTTACAGTAAAATTTGATTAATTTGTAATGTTTGAAGAGGTTTAGATTGGAGGTTAATTATTTCACCTCCTTGAAAATAGGCATTCATAAACAAATTAATATCATTCAAAAGATTGTGAAGGTCTTTTTTATTAACTTCAGGGTCAAAGTGTTTAATAACCTTAAAAGTAGTCATTTAGATAAACAATTTTCCTACATTTACGGTGATTTGCATATTGATATGCAGCCAATTAACCCCGTGGCAGCCAACATAAAGTGCATGAGAGAAGCATATCTGCTCACTGAAATGCTCAGTATGATTTCTTGACATCATGCCATCCTCCTTGGCCTCAGTCTCATTATCTGTCCTCTTTCATTCTTGCCCCAGTGACACTGGCTCTTGGATCAAGCATGCTGCTGCCAGCCTCAGGGAGGAAAAAAGGGCCAAAGAGATGTTTCTGCAACTCTTGAACTATTTGTGGTGTCTTCTGTTGCACAGGACAGAAAGTTTAGACTCTTTAGGCTGCTTCAAAATGCATGATCTGCATTCCTTTGCTTCAAATAACCTAGAGTATTTAAAATATATCTTGACTCCTTGGCCTCGCCTTAAAGATAAATTCATACTTTTGTATACTTAATTGGGTGGAACATTATTCTTTACAATAAATGTATGATCTTTTCAGAGAAATACTTTTACAAGGTCATGAGATAATTTATAAGTATTAGATCATTCCATTTAAGCCATATTTAATCTGAAAGTAAAATGAGATATCAAATACAACTTGACAATAAGCAAACATTTCATCACACCCTAATAATTCAAGAATAAAAGGTCATTTCATACCCATATTTGGAATACTACCCCTCTGAGCCCTGCTAAGTGGCTATTTATAATTAATTATCTTTCTCCCTTTTTTTTTTTTGGTACTGGGGATTGAACTTGGGACCTTGCCCTTGAGAGGCAGGCAGCAGAACCACTGAGCTAAATCCCTGGCCCTATTTATAATTGATTTTGACTAAATACCTCTACTGAAGGGGATTTATGGTCTAGTAAGGTAAGCCATTCCTTATTCAGAGATCACTGGTATAATATTTTTAACTTAAAATCACATGCTTCTTATAGTCAGTAGTATTCATCTTATTTCATAGTGAATTAACATTTAATCTGGATTCTGTCCTCTGTGATAATTTTTTAACTCTTAGAAAAACATGTGCCCACTTTTTGAGAACTTTGTTTCATTTTCCAGGCTTAATATCTCCTAGTTATGACTCTCTTTCTCCTTGTTTTTCTTTAAATCTGTCATTCTTTTTATTAGGAAAGCACTACTCAGTGCTGAGACTCATATCTATTGTGTTTTGTTCTTGGTTAAATAAAAAAGCAACTCCTATCTCCCATGTGTGGGGGAAAAAAGCACTAGACACTTAGTTCCTCAATTCAGTCTAGACACGACTCTCCTAAGGCAGGACCCTGGGCTTCCATTGCTCCTCTAAGCAGCTCATTAGTTCATGTTTAGGTATTAGATGCTTTTGTTTCTTTGCTGTGTTTTGTTTTGTGGCACTGATGAGCAAACCCGGGGCCTCATATGTACAGCCCAGTGCTTTAGTACTGACCTATATCCCCAGCCTAAGGTATATATTTTAATCAAAACCCCTAGTTCTTTTTCTTAAATGCTAGCAAATGAATCTCCTCAATTACATGTGGAGAAATTTGCTTTTAAATACAAATTCTCACACGTTTTGGCTACTAATTCCTTCATTCAGTACGTTGTTTTCCTCTCACCTGGACTTTACTCTTATGCATTAAGAACATGAACTTATGCCATTACTTATTATTAAATAAGATGTAACATGAGATAAAAGCAGAAAATAAAATGAGTTAATAACTTTTCTAGAAACGTTTTAAATGTGAGTATCTTTGGATATGATAATTCATTTTTCACTCAACTTATTCATAGAACTTTTTTTTAAATGCACATAATATCGATGTAGGGGACTCTGCCATGTGTCACCATGGTTCAGATATTTATTCATTGTATTTAATTTTAGTAGTAAACCTGTCAAACTCTGAGTTCAGTTCATCTGACATCACTGGTGAAACTCTCCAGGGTAATAGAGACCATTGTTTCTGATCTTCGTGTTCCTTTAGTTATTTTATAAGTTGTTATGAATCAGCTCTTCCAAATGATAGTGGGTATGTATTGACTGATGAAGACATAAACAAAACTAGGTAAGAGAAATTTGAAAACATGGAGAGGAATCTAGGAGCACATTTAATATTTAATCCAATTTTATAGAAGATGCTACAGAAAAGACATTGAAAGAATAATGAAAAAAGGAAAACTTATCAACTTATTCAGTGACAATTGCAAAGACCTGGAAAGCTATTTGAAAAGTCTGAGAAAATATAAGCAATTCCCGTGAGGAATGAAGTTACACCTCCTCATTCACTGTATCTCCAATTCCTCACGTGGTACCTGGCATTTATTAGGCTCTCGGGAAATATTGTTGAATTATTCATTAAGTTTATTATTAGTAATAACAGTCTATATTTTAGAAATTTTAAAATTGGATCTATTCTTCCAAATGGTTTGCAGAGCTTTCGTTTTGGATTTTCGGATGGAAGAGCTGACATGGTTTGTATATGTTATGTAAATTAGGTGCACATAAAATCTCTTCAAAAATCTAAGTAAAGCCCCCTTTTATTTTGATCAAATTCTTTTATCATTGCTCAAACATTATTTGATCTACCTAAATAACAATGAGAAGATTTTCATCAAAATAATGGTATCCCTTTGGAAAGAGCAGAAGATTGCAATAAAAATACCCATGGCGCATTAAACCATGAGTGTACTGGAAGAGGTTGAGTCTAAAGCAAGCTTTAAAGGCAAGATGAAGAGGATTCCATAAGATATTTTGAAACTAACACTTGGCTATAAAGATTAATAGAAAGGATGCCATCAGTCCAAGGCTAAACGGACAGCTGTGGGGCAAATGTCCAGAGAGAAGTGCTTTCTGTGTAAGCTTGTGCTGGTCTTTGTTTGAGGTTGCAGTACTAGTGTACTGTATTGTGAATGTTGTTTTAGGAATGCTACATGAGAGCCCACATTTATAATTGTCTACTTGTATTTATTTATTTTGGTGGTCCTGAGCTCTACAAAAGTGCCGCCATTTTAATTCTGACAACTATCGCAGGTTTTAGTTTAAAGTTCCAATTTATTGACCAAAGGCACAGGTAATGCAGAAATTTTAATTTTCACCATTTTTTTTCAACAAAATTGACCATTCCCTTTCTTTTTTTTTTTTTTGTTACCGGGGATCAAACTCGGGACCTTGAGCTTGCGAGGCAGGCGGTGGAACCACTGAGCTAAACCCCCGGCCCCAACCATTCCCTTTCTAACACACATCCTTTGATCTCTTGGTAGCACATTTTGTTTTGTTTTCCTTCCTTCCTATGCACTGGTTTTTCATCTCTGACTTGTGTGGCTCTCGTCTCTCCCCATAATGCTGAATTGTGAAGTGTCCTAGTGCTCAGATCTTAGTCTTTTTCTCTGTCTATTCACATTTCCTTGGTGATTGCCTCCTTCTTATGGCTTTAAATGTACACTCTATCTATTTGGCTCCAGTTAGCAAGGTAAGCGCTCCAATCTTGACTACTTCTGTATTCCAGACCAGGTGTATTTTATTGCATATTTGATGTTACCATTGAAATCACTCAGTTCAAATATTATTTCCTGAACCCACTCCCCAACTTTATCCACCCACAGCTTTCCATTTCAGTTGACAGGAATTTTATGCCTCAAATTGCTTGGGCCTCAAACCTCGAGTCATTCTCGATTCTCCTTCAAACAACTCTGCTTAATTTACTCTTCACAACATACCAGGACATTGATTAGATCTTATTAATATGACTTTTCAAATAGGATAATTACCTATGGGACATGTAGTAAGAACATAGAACAGGACCACAGACAGTAACAGGTATGTGTAAAGTCTTAGACGTCAGCATTCACATTTAAGCGCAATTTCTGTTTGCAGGAAAGGCCTATGCTCCAGAATTCTACTACGATACCTACAACCCCGTGTGGCAAAACCGGCACCGTGTTTATGCCTACAGTCTACAGTGGACCCAAATGAATCCCGATGCGGTGGATCGGATTGTTGCCTATCGGTTGGGTATTCGGCAGGTGAGATATTTAATCAATGTCTTTTTTTTTTCCTTTGTGGTCTTCTGTGAATACTTTGTTGCTATAATTTTTCTAATCTTGCTGCATGAACTACAGAATATTTTCTTTATCAACAATATAACTTTATACAAAGTACTCTAAATTACTTATAGGACTCTGAAATTAATTGATGAATTTTCTATTATTGCAGCAAATATTTTAAGGCAACATGTTTTGAGTCTTCTGACATCTTCATCACTAGATATGTGTGGGAAATTATATGGTACAGTTGCCACCATAGGAACTTATTTAAGATGTTCTCACACTTACCTACATTGTGTAATTGTTTGCTTTGTCTCTTTAAGACTAGAAGTCTTAAATATTTTTACTTCAAAATATATACATGGTGCTTTAAAGTTACTTTAATATACCTGAAGAATATAAATACTTTATAGTACATAAGAAGAAATAATAAGGCATGATATTTTTTACTGTAGCTGAAGACTACAGGTTGTGTGGACACATTTTTATCTTTTTTTTAAAATGAACTGTATTCTTTGTTGATATAAATGACATTTTTGAAGTTTAAATGTAGTTTTTACATTTTCTTTGTAGTCCCTTGCTAGATAACATATTATCTAGATAACTGCTTCAGCAGTACAAAACATTTTTGAAGATTTATTTAATTTCCATATAATCTATTACCTCTCCATTGCAACTCTGTATTATCTGCAGATTTTCAAAGAGTGTATCCACATCCTGAGCCAAATCACAGAATAACATTTTTAGTTGAAGCAGTGGAAAGGACAAAATTTGCTTGGGGAAAGGTTGATCAGCTTCCCTCAATCTATTCAACTGTTCTTTCCTACAGCCATTCTTTTCCTTCTTCCTCCCAAAGTTATAATAAAATATCTCTTAAGACACATGGTTCAAATGAAGGTACACTGTAAATTGAATATTGTGATACTTCTGGTATAGCAATCCTAACATAATGAAAGAGCTTGTCCTGGTTGAAGACATTTGACATTTCATCATCACTGCTTTCTTGTCTAAGTGCTCACCAGTCATCCATTTAGGAGACCACAGTGGGACATTCAGAAAATCTCTCTCTCATTATCCCTCATTTACATGGACCCCTGGTAAATCTGAGTCTATCTCAAATCCATATCAAAAGTGACTGTTCTAGTTTGGTAATTTTCTTTGATATGGAAGACACAAAACAGTAACAACAAAAGATCAGACTAGCAGTCCTTTCTCCTCCAGTTGGTGGGCTGCTTTCTCTTTTCTTAACAAAATTCGTATTTTAAAATTTCTGTATTTGAAACATCCTAAAACACTGTTGACTTCTCACACATCATAATTTTTAAGTCCTTACTACATTGTTTATTCATTCACATTCATCTTTTATTATAATTTTTAATCTAAGAACATAAGACTGAATGCTATTTGTAAAAATAATTTATTTTCTTTACCTGTCTTTCATTAATTTTGACACAGGTCTGTTTTCAATGGTAGAATCAGATCTTAATTTTTCATTTCTGACTTTCTTTCTTAGTTGTATTTTCTTAAAGTTCTTAAGCAAACCGTCAGAAGTCTAAGGGCGGCCTGTTTTCAGTGCTTGTTTTCACAAGCAGTGTGGAATTTATTCAACTCTGTTCCTCATTGCTTCTCTGGACTATGCTTCAAAATGTTGGTTCCAAACCAATGTCATGCAAAAATCCTTCTCTATACATCAAATGTAGCAGAAATGCAGTTATCTATGAAATCTCTCCACTCCCAGAGTACAAGACCGATTTTAGCAGAGTTAAGACTTCCCTGTAGCAGGAATCTATTAAGATCCTTCCTTTTGTCCATATTTTGTATCCACTGTTAGCAAACTATCTGCTGAATTACTTTTTGCTGAGATTCCTATACTATTTTATAAACGATAGTTTCTCTAAATATTTTGATTTTGCTTTTCTGACACAATCATCTCTAAATCCCTATGTTTACATTTCTTCATCAAGAAACTGATACACAGTGATTCATATATTCCAGTCACCTTAAAATGGCACTCAGAGGGCAGGCAGACCAGGGAAGAGAGCGGAACTCAGAGAATGGAAGGGAAAGCAGGTTTATTCGCTAGCTAGCAGGCCCAGCAGAAGTAACCTTCCAAAGTCTGAGCCCCATTTCTAAGTTTGTTCTCACATTTATGTTCTTCAGCCAGGGCGGAGGAGCAAGAAGAATTTTACAGAAGCAGAACTTAGCAAAGGGTAGGGAGGTGGAGGTAAATGTGGTTCTTGCGGTTTATCTTTAAGACACAGGGAGGTAGGGAGGTACAGGCAGGTGTTGTTTCAGCACTTCATCTTTCAGGCACAGTGAGCTTCCTGGGTTTAGCAGGAAAGACAAACCCTGAGACAGGAGGGGCAAGCCGTGAAAGACCCGCCAGGCTTGAGGCTGTCTCTGCTCTGTCTTTCGCTTTTTCCATTTCAACCATGCTGTTCATTTTCAATGAATTAGATACTGTTCTCCTATTCTTAAATTTAGAATAAATTATGTATATGCGCATTCATATATGTATGATATGTCTAAGTACATGGGAAACTTAAATATGGTATATAATTTTTCACGTGTATAATATGTAAATTTCCTTTATATTTTATTAAAATAACAAAGTGCAGGCCCAGCTTAACTCCAAGTAAGTCTAGAAAAACCTAAGTTCATCACTTGTAGTTGTATAACCTTAACCACGTTTCTGAACATATCTCAGCCTGAGTTCTTGGGTATAAATGGAGGCTATGACACCTCTCAAGCAGCTGGAGCATGCAGTGGAGGACAGGACGCCCCTCACCTGTCCCACAGCCAGGTCTCTTCACATAGACATCTGTAGCAGTTCTTACACTGACAGGCAAGATTGTGTAAGGATTTGCAGAAAGAGTATTTTAAGAGTTTCTTATGTCTTCTATCTTTACTACTTCATTTTATTTAATTCGCTATGAACACCATGTCTGTGTTACTCCTGGCCTTGATTTTTACAAAATAACTTCTAAACATGTTCTCACTATATCCTTATTTTTATTTTGAATCTGTTGTCCTCAGTAAGATCCATTTTACTGATTCTCATTTTTTCCCTTCCAGTTTTAGTATTAGATAAAGGTTTTCTTGATCAAATCAATGAACTGACTTCATACTGTTCTTTCCAGGTTTTCTAGGTGTGTGCTATCTAGAAGAAAACATTTCTGTTGTTAGGTACTAGAGCCCCAGAGCAAATCCTTTCCCTTACTCAATTTTTGAAGCTAACTTCTTAGTTGCCATAGTATTGTTTCTTTTCTTTGTTTTTAGGATCTTCATTCATATTTGCATATTCTTTTCTCTACAGTGCTTTATTATGATGCTCTCATCTGATATTTTAACTTAGTGTATCTTGCTATGGAAGAAAAATTTTGACATATCCTTTGGGGATGTTTCAATAAAGAGTAATGTTCTTGTGCTATTCTGCCAATGTGTTCTGGAAGGTAATGTTTATAGATATAAGAAGAAAAAAGAGCATGTATACAAACTTCCCTTTTTCCACTATCACACTTGTTATATTTAACACTTGAGTAAAAATAAGCTTTACATACAAGATGACTTCAATAAATAATATTTGTTTCAACAAGCCACTTATACTCAAAATTTCAGGATAACAGGGCAGAAGTACTTTATACACAATTAAATGTTATAAAGTACACAATTAAAATGTTATAAAACTTTTTAAAAATTCCTCTGCTTAGTGACAGAAAGCAAAGATATTACTATATGTTTTTATATTATCTTAGAAGATTTAATTTCTTCTTTTCCATGTATGCACATTTAGATATGAGCATTATCTTAGGAAACAATAAGCTATTAACATTTTAAAAAATATTATTGATTTCTGATAAGAAAAACACTTTACAATTTTATATTGTATCCATATGGCTTTTTTAATCTTCCCCGCTACCTCAGAATCTTGAGTATGCACAATATAACTTGGATGATGTTCACATATGTTAAGAACGTGGCATAAGCCAAGTAAGTTTTTTAAAAATATAGATTTTATCTAATAATTAATGCTTATGTATTCATGAAGTCAAGGTTCCTTCAAAAGACTGTCAGTTATTTTACATATGTTACCAATTGTGTGTGTGTGTTGCTGGGCTAACAAACTCATGGCCTCCTGCATGCTAGGCAAACATTCTATCACTGAGTTATACTCCTAGTCCTATTTTATGATTTTAAAGTTGTATTCTTTTAGGCCACATATTTCATTCAAGCCTATTGATCTAAATTATTTCTTCTAGTTATGAAACACGGAGGCTACCTAGAATGTACATAGTATCTCCCCTTTCAAGCATAATCTAAATTACTCAATACATTTTTATATTACGTGAAGTCTGAAAAGCAAATTTGATCCTTTAAGATGGTAGTGGAATTTAGTTCTACAATCATACTTTATTTTTAATTTAGAAACCTTATTACCTATCTTAAATATGATTATAAAATCATTTGTTGTATTATTAAAATGAAATTGATGAAGTTAGTAAACTAAGCAAAGTATTCTTTTCATCTTTCTATTTATATTATCTGACTTTTGCTTAAGCTATATGGTGCATAAATTTGATGAGGAACTTTTTCTCAGAATTTATTTATTGGCTTATATACTCTACAAAACGTTGTAGTGTATCTAGGAAAAAGCTCTGAAATTCCAGAGCCACTATAATAAGGAACTTTAAAAGACTAGATATATCCAAAGAAGCTAAAAAATTAATTTATGGAAGAAAAGTTTACATAAAATCTTAATATTCTTAAGTTATATATTTTAGGCTCAACTAAGCAATTGTTTAATCTCCTTGGACAGGTACCAGCCTCCAATTATTTGCTTCATTTGTTACTTAGGAAGAAAGTAGAAAAGATTATTGAAGTGTCTACTTTTTTGGCATCTAAGGAAATAAGAATAAAGCAAAGCTCTTTGTATATTATCTGAATACAACAAATAGCATAAACATCACTTGAATCCATTC